TACTCAATATCAAGCCACGCTTATTGTTTTTACTTCGGCTGTGACTTTGTGTGTGCTCAGGGTGAGTTTGGCTGTGTTTGGCTGTGTATCGCTAAACAAGGAAACCACACCTCCNGAGCTACAACGAGCCGTTAAAGGCAGAGAGTGAAATTCAGTGAATACACGTAGTTTACAGAGATGCTGTATGAGAAACCAATGTGAGTTTGGAAAATTGCACAATATAAATCTATTCTAGTAGACCTCAACAATGGAATTATGATCAGTGGAAATGGCCATGACATGGGACCTTTAACGAGAATAACAAGTATGTGTTGAAGCACCTTGCACTGTAAAGACTGTTATGCTCTACCTTTTATAACTGGCTGCTTACTTACGCATGCTTAGTGATTGGGATTTGATATCTGATCATTATATTAGCCTGGTGTTTGATTCCAACTAATTTCAAAATGTCAAGATAGCTCTATTAGTTCATTTAGCTGTTTTACTGTAACACCCATCTTTAGCCACCGCCTCTATTTTTTTAAACAAACCATTTTGTAACTGGTATCTTTCGGTCACCTTTGTGGCGGATGCACACTCCCTCTTTCCCCCTGTGTGTTTCTGTTACACAAGAGCCCTGAAAACCTCTCTTTCCCACTTATTTCAAGTTCTCTCCAGGTGAAGTTGTCAATGAGCCCCTCACTCCTCCTCTTTCTCAGGTCACAGGAGAAGTGGATTATCTAAGCTTTATCACCCCAGTGCTCTAGCATTAACTCCACTCTCCTCTCACCGTGGTCTGTTACCTCTCAGCATGGAGCGCCGCAAAGTTAATCCCCACCACAACAGATCACAGTTACAGGTAATCTGCCACCGCCGTGACTCTAATCCCATCATGTGCACACACAGAAAACACTTAACCACGCGCAAGCACACACTGGCGTACACGAAGTGGGCATGCACAGGTGTTAAGTATGAGGTTTGACCAGTCACACAGTTAACAATGTAAATATAATAGCCCGAGACGTTCAAACTTGTTTATGCACACACAGTCCAACCCGGACTTCTCATCTCAACACAATGAAGCCAGCAGTGAGAGTGTAAGGAAAGAAAGTCACCTGGCCTTTCAATCGTCTCGCCCTCTCTACCCCTGTGATTATGAGATTTGGCCTTGCAGGACAAGGGGAGGAACGAAAATTACAGAAGTGAAAAAGGAGAGGTCTCACTCGCTTTCTCTCACACACACACACACACACAGTGAAGGAGGCGGTGCGTGAGAGCCCTACAAGTCAAAGATAAGGTTTCCCGGCCTCTGTTCTCTTCACGGTTGGTTAGCGGTTAGGGACCGGTGTCTCAATTTACTGGCCCCTGCAGTGATTGGGAGGTGGGACCAGCCCACACCCAGCCGGGTCTTAACATTTCATTTATTGTCTAAAAAGGCACACTTTGCCTCTCTCACTTCCTAAGGGACTGGGTTAGGGTTAGCGAAACAACAAAAACATGAGGGAAATTAAGCCAGCAGAAAGGACAACAGCCAAACTTGGAGAAAGACGAAAAAAAAAAAACACACAAATAAGGAATGAATGGTTGTATTAAAAGCAGCTTTAAAAGAGAAAATGCTTTGAAAAAGACCATAAAGATAGATATAGTTCCTTCAAAGTAAACCACCTAGCTCTACTTTCCATTATGAGTGACTAAGGTGCAATCTATGCTCCATAGGAAGAGCATGTGATTCATAATGTGTGGGACACAATACCTTGGGCTCATTGAAAATGGGTTGAAAAGAGGCAGAACCCTTAAAAACAGCGAGACAGAGAAAGAGCGAGAGAGGGGACAAAGATCACTCATATCCTGAGAGAACAGTTCAAGGCCACCATGCATTAGCTTTTAGCAGGATGGATTAAGTCAAGTTTGAGAGTGCGCATCCTAAACCTCCCCATGCCCCCTTCTTACCCCTCCCATATACTCTCCTTTCAGAATAATAGCATAAAAAATTGCAACATAATACCATCTCATTGCATCATATTCCAGAGTGGGGGGAAAAAAGACAGGGAACAAAAGCTTTCGGGCTATGGGTCTTTCGCTCTCGCTTCTCCATGTACTCTCTCTCACTCGTTCACTCGCTTGCCGGCCCTTGCGGCCTGACAGCCTACCCTCTCTCCGACTCGCCTAGCTGGCAAAAAGCTGCTTTGTTGCCATAGTATCAACTCCCACTTTTGATACTGTCATTTCAAGTAGGATATGGTAGCCTTGATACAATATGTTCCCTATTTCCATTAAAATAGTTGTCGAAGAGGATGCTGTAGACTTTGGATTACACTTGACTGTGCCTGACAAGCGCCCCCCCCCCACCACACACCCGCCTCTTTCCATTTTATTAATGACCAAAGGCCCCATAGCCCAAATGGAAAAGAGAAAGAAAGAGAAGCTATGAGAGTAGAGAAGAGGAGGGGTGGAAGACTGAGTGAGAGTGAGCGACACAGCTATAAGAGGCCTTTTATGTACTCCTATCCATAAACAAAGTGAGATCCCGAAGTTCGCTCCCTTGAATGTGCTCTCTGGATGAGATGGGAACCAACTTAAGACGAGACATTTTGATAATACCCAACAACCCCCCCCCCCCCTCACACACAAACACCCCAACTCCATGTTTGCTGAGGGTCCAGACAAATACACTACGCTGCTTAAGAAGGACCTCGAAAGCCAGCAACCACACAAAAAAACTTTACGGTGATATGATAGGACTCTGTAGAATAACTCATCACCGACATGAGAAACACGTGCAGAGGCAGAAAAGAAACAGAAGCTACCAGCTTCATGTGGTCTATAGGCCATTTGAGAAACTACGCTTAAATCGCAAGGATTTAGGTGAGAACAAAAATCCATTGTTTCAACACGACCTTGGACATTACAAGTCTGCTCAGGCAAAATGAGATATCCGCCTCCTTTCACTAAGAACTTAGCTTCCACCTCTTTCAAAAACTGACTGAAATAGGTATATTGATCCCATTGATTTAAAAAACAAAACAATGCAGGCCTGGTTGTCAAAAAGCGACTATGTTTCCTGCCTCAAAGGATAACGTTTCTCACATGATAACAACATATTATTTACACAGTTTGTTTCAACAACTACTTGTTAAACATGCAGCAACTGCAAAGTCAAAACTCAAATACACACTGTCATTTATTGAAAGAGTAAAATAAACAATATCATGTGATGAAAATACATTGCTCTGGTGTTTATGCTATATATGAAATCATATCATCAAAAGGGGCTTCAGTGACAGATTATCAACGACGCAACTGACTGCACACAGCTTGGAGTGAAATGGGATAAGTGGGCAATGGGATGAAGGCTGGTGAGGGGGTGGCTTTCTGCCCTCCCATGGGTGGGGGACAGGGGGTAAGGATGGGGGGGGAAAACGCTCCAGCTCCCCCACACACCCTGGCCTGTTTCATTCTTCTCTTCTCTCAATGAGGGGATTAGGTAGACTCTCTCAGTGTGGCCACAAGGGCTCTCTCGATTTGGAGGTGGATAGCAGGACAGCGGTGAGAACAGGAGACAAGGGAAAGTGTTATGAAACAGAAAGTATCAAGCATAGTTAGAGGATAGAAAAAAGTAGTTCTGAATATTACAAGTAAAATGGAAACAATAAGAGCAAAGCATAGGCTATGCATTCCAGGCCGAGGCATTGTGGCTAACGTTCTTAACTTGCTGGAGATGGAGGAAAATGCTTCTAAAGAAAGCTGAAGAAAGGAGAAGGAGAGAAGCAAAGCAAAGTTGACACCACGTTTGTTGAGAAGTGAGGGATGCGCCGCTTCTTCTGTGGTCTTATGCAAAGCAGGGTCACACAGGGCTATGAGGTGCACAATAATGCTGATTACACGCATATGCTAATTATAACACACTAATTAAGTACAGTAGCCTTATATTCAACGCTAATGCCTGGAGACGGTTTCTCTTTCCTCAACCCATTTCTTAAGGTAAAGGGAAACTATAAATACTTTAGGGCTGCTCCCCAATCTAATCCAGGCCACTAACTACAGGGGTGTCAATCAACTGAAATGACAATTTAAAGATAAAAGACAGGGCAATCAGACGAGACGAATGACTGCCTGATCATTTCAGACTCTCAATAAAGCCTGCACATTTAAAGCGCATACAGAAGAGCCCTGGAATGGCTCAATTTACGCAAAAGCGTATGTGGTGACAGAAATGAAAGTTTGTCAAATCTTGAAAACTGGTGCTACCACTTTCTTTCTATGCATGTGTCATATTGGAAAGAGACAATTATAGCTAATCATAATGCAAGTAATAATTTAAGCGAATGTCTCATTTAAGTTTGACAAATTCTTCATAACCTTTGAAACGGGGGTGAATATTTTTTAATCAAGCTCCAAAACATCAAGGTAAGTGGACCTTGTGATCATTTTTGTCAATCATCATCCTTGTCTACTATTTGTCAGTTGGTTAAAGTACAGTCTTTGCATTATTTGTCTAAAATCATTCAAGCTGACTCAGCCTTGATTTACAGAGGAAAATACCAATGAGACACATCTGTGTTTCGCAATAGCAAGGACTGTCCAACTGTTTTTCTCCTCAATGATTGCGCAATAACAGCACATTTCTGGATGGTGTGTAAGGCAATAGTCTAACATGTAACATTTCACTTTGAAGAAACAATATTGTATATGTTTCTTGACACAACCATTTGGACCAACTACTATAGTTTACCAACAGATGGCAGGAACCTCTCTAAGAAGACCATCATTTGTTCTCTTCTACAAGTATTCAGTAGGACAGGACTCAGGAGGAAGGAAATGTGGTGAGGGGGTTGGGAGCGACTGGAAAGGATCCGGTAGCACGTTGCATCCTGTCCAGTTTCAAAGAAGCTGACTTGCAAAGTTATGTTCCTCTTTAGCCCAGCATTGGAGCATTTTTGATGACCTATCATTAAAGTCAGGTCAGAGTAAGCACTCTTGAAAAAACAGACACCCTTACTCAAGTAATAGTAGTATAGGATATAGATGAGCATCTTGTCATACATGACTTCAAGTTGGTTCTTAAGTGTAACCCATTCTGTTATCTATTCTTTGCAGTCAGAAAATGGGGTGTGGCAGGAGTTCAAACCTGAACTGTCTTGGCAGGGTAAACTTTTATGATGTGTTGTTTCATATTCGTTTACTCAGTTTGCTGCAGGGGTAATGTGACAGTTATTTGAAGAATTGTATGTATTGGTAAAACAGTGAAATGTCACGTCGCCACGGAAGAAAAACACTTGAGGCCAATATAAACACATTTCCTTCGTAAACAGAGACAGCTACATGCCTGTTACAAGTTAGGCAAGCATTAGGTTCAATGTCCCTGTTAACATTGTTATCAACATTTCTCCATTACTTATTAACAAACGTATAATCAAATAACTTGGTTAGCTGTTCAAAGCTAACATCAGTAACGTTAACTCGTTACCTTACTGTCAGACAGCTAAACAGTGTTAGCTTGTTTTATGAGGGTTACTAGCCTGCTAGCTAGCGTTAGCAAACTCGTGTTGCAAATACAAATGCACAGACATTTCTACACATAATTAAATATCGAATATGTGATTGTATACGCATCCTTTATTGCTCTGGGCGACCCCGATGTCATGAAGTCATAACTTTCTCTGTTAACAGGAAAGACGTTAGATACTTCAGGTAGCTAGCTTAAAAGCTAACATCATTAGCAGTTGTTACCTTCAGTCTGACTTCATACGTGGTGTATCTGGTCCTGCCAACCCCAATGGTCTCAGGGTTGCTTACATCAATTTCTAGAAAATTACTTGGAGGTCCATAAGCGTCATTTAGGTTCTGGGGCTTGGAGAAGAGCCTTCTTGTGTCAGCTATGGTATCAGCCATTTCTCCCCTGTCCTTCTAGCAGCTAGTGATAGTGTGAAGCTAGCCAGAATACAAATACCTACATTCCGTTACTCACCTTCAAAATAAAACATTTGGTGAATGTTGTGCACGGGTAATTGGACGTATGGAGACAAGCGCACTCTTTAAGGAGATGTTCTGTATTAAATTATAGTATATATTTATATATGTGACTTTTTACAGGACGCTGTTGTTTATGCAGCACACAAGTTTAGGGGTAACTTTTAAGTTGAAGGTAAATCATACAGTTTCCGGTTTTGATAGGTCTCTTACTATGGCAAGCTTGAAAGGCCAGCTCGCTGCACTTCCGATCAGCTGAGGTTCAGCTGATGCTGCCCGTACAACTGCTGCTCGGTTTGTTTACAACCCGCCAGCGGGTCTATCGGTTGGAATGACGTATTCGGACGACATACACAATTGTTATCATTATATTCCTGTACTCAAGACCAATCATGCTTTGAAATTGCTGCTAAAACGTGCAATAGTGTTGCTTTTGGATTCAATGCTCAAATAATATTAATTATTAAAAAAAACAATGTTTTATTAAAAAACGAAATAACAAGCGAAATGTTTACTTATCATTATTATTGATAAGATCCACTCATATAAATATACCTCGGCCTAAAATATAAAACATTACATTTTTATTTTTAACCTAACCTGCAGTAGTTTACAAGATAAATATAAATAAAAATACAATATATGAGTTGTATCCAGGTTATATCTAATAATATTAGTCACAGTTACATACCCGTTAGATACCCAAGCTCTATCCTGCCATGCCTGTGTCATGTGCTGGTCATGTGGCTTATGTTTGTCAATTGATTGTCAATAAAGTTTTGAGTTTTGAAACATCATGGCTGCGTACAGGGTCCCTGCAGCTGCCAGATTCTCAATACAATGTTTACTAAAAAATACTGTTCTGACTTCAAGGAGAATTTTCCGAGGGTCAGCATTTTTCACTGGAAAGGGTATGTGTCTCTCGGTCATGTTGTAATAAATTATTTTCAGGTTGTCGTGTTTTAAAAATAAACAGTCTTAAACCTCTGAATTACTCGACTTCTATTTACTTCCTATGACGTTTTACTTAAATATTGACAGAATCCGTGTATACTTGCAGTCTTAAGGTAACGATTTACAGAGAATTTTACAAAACAGCTTTTGCTTTTATGCTCCAAGGTTACACTGGCTGGAGGACATGCAGTTTGTCCGCACCACACTGCTCCTCCGAGCCTCCTGCAACAAAAACGTGTGCCCTCAGTGGACAGTATGACCACCTTGTTCAGTGTGGCTCCCTGCAGGAAGACATTCAGCAGAGATACGTCCTACAGCAGCTGGCTTTGCTGAAGCACAATCTGAATAGCTACACAAACAGCATCTACTTGAACCCAACCCCAACCAGGTTAACCTCAAAAGATGACAACAGTCAACTTCCAAACGTTAAATATGGTGGATCAACTGCAAAGGTTTGACGTTTTATACGTAATGATGCATGGTCGGATAATGATTACTCTCATACTTGTTTGATTGCCCTTCTGAATTTAGATTCTGACATGCAATTGGTCTCCAAAATATAGTGGACAACTTATCAAAACCAACATGTAGTATCCACAATTTCATAAAGCAACCAATTTCCTGCTAGACTTAATAACACCTGTCCACATGAGACTCTTTCAAAAACAAAATGTAAAATATTAAAGAAAATACATCCACAAATGTATGTCCACAAATACCATACATACATAAACAAAATACAATGGGATTATGGCCTAAGATATGGTCTTAATCAGCAGGCGGAGTCTGGTCAGTTTTCATGAGTTTGCACCAGATGACATGCACTTTGAGCAACTGTTTTAAAAAAAACAGGTACTTCACCAATATATCAACGGATCCATCTCTGTTACAACTAAATAAACTCCTCCCTATCATGAAGACCATGTGATGTGGTTGAAAGGTTGAGGAAAAATACGTAAGTGGATCTGATTTGAGTAGGTTTTTTTAATTGTCAATCTAAACCGTAAACTGTCATGCAAGACAGTAGTGCCATTAAAACCTGACTAATATTATATAATACTATTCTGTATTTGATATAGACTCAATAGGATTATTCAGTTGAGATTTTGGGCACTTCTGAATTGTTTGGACTTAAAATGAAGAAGTAGCATACATGCTGCAGATCTTTTTTTTCTTTCCTTACAACATGAATTACAATGTGCATACACTGAAATAAAAAGTTGGAATAGTGCATAAGGTAGAAAATAATGAGTGATTTTGGACACAGTTTACAATTTGTACAGCAGCATGGATTTAAAGCCTATTACAGTGGGGCATCTGGACTCTCAGTCTGTTATTAAGCCCTGTTGACGTCCAACATATGGAGGGACTTCACAGAGTTCACTGCACTGTACACAAGTTGTATCACTGATGGTGGCCATGGGGCTCAGGTCAAAGGGAGGGTAGGGGTCTGGGAAGTGTATTGTGTATGTGAGTCTTGGAACGGCGTAATGTAGGGGGCTGTTGTTGTTTTTAGGTCAGGGGAGCTGACTGTCTAGTATTTGGTGGTGGGAGTTGTTTTGTTGGTTGGCTGGCACAGACACATAGGGTTAGGCAGAGATTTTGGAAGGCAGCAGGGCAGACCTCCTGCTGGGCTGGTCCCGGCACCCCTCTCACTCTCTCACCGTCCCAGTGCAGTAATGAGGGGATCCCCATTGTCTGGGCCATTCTTGTCCTTTTTGCTTTTGATTCGGGAATCTGACAAATACTTTGGTGTTAGGCTATCAACACCGCCGCCCCCTCTCCTTTTGCACCTTATTTCGTGCTCTGTCTCCCACACACACACATACACACTGACAGGAGTACTTATGCAATTATTCTGGCTTGAATCAGGTCATACCACTGTCCTTTCGGTGTCTGTTCTCTCTGTGAAAGTACCGCCATTGTCCTAACTAACTGACCAAGTCTGTGAGGAGAGTACACTTGACTTAATATTCACCCAATGTGGCGTGGTTTTGCGGATGGCCGGCCAACAATGGACCATTGTTTAAAGGGCGCCACCCTCTTCAAGTCAGACCTGCATCATGCAGTCCTCCTGTACACTGGCGGTCTCCAGCAGGACAGTTGTACAATTTAAACCTCACTCCCATGAAACTTCTGAGTGAGAGACACAACGTATCTGTCTGTAGATGTGATCAAACGCAGTTCTCCTGAAGTCATTTCAAAACCAAAATGTTTATGTCCTGCATGTGAACTTTCCACTCATGTGCCAGTCTGCACCCTCTTCCAGGAGGTGAGACAAGGCCACACAGCTCAGCTAGACAGAGTGGCTGAGAGACGGCCTTGTCTTTCTCCACTCTGCCGTGGCAGAATGGCTTCCAGCCACCACTGACAATTACCCCACCATGCCAGAGGGCAGCCTGGGAAGTCAGGGAGAAGTCACACACTGTTATGCCAGAGCAGACAGGAAAGGCTTGTTGCTCTTCCAGTGTTTCACTCCAGCACAGGACAGGCATGGGGGGGGGGAGGAGCCGGGAGAGGGCAGAGTGAGAGAGAGGATGGGTAAGAAGTTTGTTTTTTCATTTAGTTTTCAATTGGCCATTGTCTGCTTTCACCAAAGTCAAGTGCTACTTGTACTGTGGTCACCGAGCGCATTGGACACACTGAGTACCGTCTTCATGAAATATTTGCTAAATTACATTTTAAGAGGACAAACCTTTCCATTCAGTGCTCAGTTAATTCCAAAGCTATTTGCCGTTGCCCGGTTACAGAGATGGACAATCTTGAACCACATTGTTGTTGAACCCTGTATTAAACATTTCTCATTTCTCCTCATATACTAAAAAATATGCTCTAATTTATCGTTACATGTCATGAGTAAACTGATGACGTCAACATGGCTTCGGCCCTCTTTAGAGATATTGGCTTTATGCGATATTCTCAGCTCGGTCACACAGAATACGTTTTTTTAAAGCAAGGACCTTTTGATGATGGGAGGCAGGCAGCACAATGACTTCCAGCAGCACCTCAATGCAACAGTACCGTATCACAATTAGCAGCGCTAAACAGGCTGCACAGACAAGTCCACTCCATCTCGTATGGAGCCTCATCCAGTCCTCTCCGTTTTGTCTGACAAATCCCCCTATTGTTCCTCTGATGATGCTTTTATTTCGTGGGAACCCTGGCTTGTCTTGTTGATTAGATCCCCTTTGTCTTCCTCCCCTGCACTGGGCTAGTCTGGAGAATGTGAAACCTCACACTGTAGTGGTGGCTTAATGGCTCAGCATACTTTGTTTATTAAACGATGATTCAGTCTTATATGGTAATGAATATAACGACGTTTATGTAGGTCAACAGCTATAATGTTTTGTGCCTTTCTAATACGGCATTTATGCAATCATTTTTCATAACCATATTGATTTTATGCTTAACTGTTGTGCATTGTTGTTTATGATGGCAAGCAGCTGGTAAAGATACAATGTAAAAACATACTTATTCATTTCCTTCCTGTATTTTCCCTCAAAGGAGGAACCCACTCCTCCCACACCCACAGGCTTTTACCTCTATGGAGATGTCGGTAAGATCTCAAAATAAATAGATATACTATGATATTATCTAAGGAGTTTCATCTCTGGAAGATTTCAAGGAAGTTATAATCATGCTTTTCTGTATCCCTCTCAGGCACAGGGAAGACCATGCTCATGGATATGTTTTACTCCAGTGTGGAAAACACTCGTAAAAAGAGAGTCCACTTCAACGGCTTCATGCTGGACATCCACAAAAGTTAGTATTATCCTCCCACTCCAAGACGCTCACTGCTGAAGGTTTGCTTGCTTGACTTTATGGAAGTTTTCTGACTCCTCATGCGTTGGAGATCCTATATTTATCTCTGTGTTTGTCCTGAAGCCTTCCTGCTAATTGTCTACCATTATGCATACAGGTGAAATTACTGCTTTATTCAGTATTGTCATTGAGTTGCTGATGCAGGTGTGCTTTAGGATGCGCCTGACGTTTGTGTGCTGCTTAAAGGGATTCAC